GCTTTGTGGCTTGTGCCAGGTTGCTGCGTAATGAACAGGCAGGCACAAGATGAACACTGCAGCTGTGAATTCTCGGGCAAGTGGCATCCTGGAATCCTGCATGGCTATATATATATAAATATATATGTTTGTTTCTAATGTTGCAAAATGTGGCATGGCTTTAGGACCAATGCAGCCAATCTGTCAATTTGGCGGCTTTCAACCACTCCCAGTATGACACAGTGGTCCTAGCCGAGTAATTAGTAATTGCTGTATCGGTGTGAAAAAGGTCACCAAAGAAAAATATCGCAGTCCGGCCTGAGCCAAGCTTTGTGCTTCCGGGACTGCTTTCTCAGCAGCAACCTGAAACGCAACAACCACAATAAGCCGTTTGACAACGAACACTGGTTATGAACATAACATTTCATCCGATATGCACAATCTAAGCGTAAACATCATAAACTCATTGTTACAAAACAAAGCCAAAACAACACATCAAAAACGGGCCTCTTTGCTTTCCGGTAGCTTCGGAAGACCACGCTGGATCCGCGGCAGCTTTGTTTTAGACTCGCCTTTGTACAGGAATGACAGAATTTTCGCAGCAGGTGGGATGCCCAAATGCAAAGAATGTTGCCAAAAATTAGACCTGGACTGCTGTTTCCAGTGGTGCTGGCGTTCTTTAGGCCAAGTAATGCAATACGGAACAGCGAAGGCGCTCCTTGGTTCGGCATGACCACCCTCGGCTCCAAACCTTTCCCCGAACAAACCACAACCCAAGCTTTGGTCTTCCCTAGTTGAAGCACTGGCCTGACGAAGATGTGAGACAATTGACACACAAATCGCACCAACCAAAGACGGCCAGAAAATAGGCCCTGCCTTCCACGTCCTCTTCTTCCGCTGAGGATTCCTCGAAGGACAGCTTCGGGCGGCTGCGCTTCATGGCGATCCATGGGCAAAGTGGAGATCTATCAAACCTGGTTGGCAAAATCACATAGCTGGTGGTCGAAGGCATGACATGCAGTTTCCGCTCTGAATTGACAGCTGCACGACAGGTATTTAAAATCAGATTCCACGGCCACAAACCAAATCCATGATCTACTACTCACAGCTAGTTGGTAGCCAAATGCTCACATGAAACTGTGAACATGCCCTACAGCAAATTGGCCATGAACGTCACTTTCGCACATCATTGGATAAGTCTGGTGGAGTGACAGGAGTACCGCTTAGGGACCTGCCCGGTTTCGACATGTCATAAGCAAATCATCCAAAGGCTGTCCACCACATAAGGAACTATGAAGCCATGATCCCTGATGCCTAATTAATTAATCATGATTGCAAATGTTGCCCTTGTTGTGCTGCCTTTCAGCTTTCTCATCATTTGAGCCTCCGAATCATTTGCTTTCCAATCCCACGTGGGTCTGAATTTTCACTCATGGGCTGGGGATGGGCATCAAGGGAATGACGACCCTTGCTCAATGCAGTGGCAACCACAATGTCGTTTAAGGAACTGATGCTTGCAATTCTTTCGTATCTCGCAGTTGTTTCGTTTCACCACACCTGATATCCAAACACACTGACTGCGAGAATTGTGAGATATGTGTCGCCCATCAATTGTCGCCATGCCGAGGTCACAGCAGCGCCGGGCACAGACCGCAAGCGCTCGGAGGACTTCAAACTATGCCGCAAGGGAACCTGCACCACGAGAAAAATGAGTCAGCCATACTCAGCCTCCCGGTGACTTCCTGAGTAGTACCTATACAGTAGTCAAGTCCATTCCCTGACCAAGACCTGTACTGCACTAACCGGGCAGTTACATCATAAATCATCATGATATGAATATGGCACAAGTTCTCGGATTGCTGCTATATCATATCTGCTATCGTGAATCATTCCTTAATCTACAAGTCTCTTGTTCTTGAAGCTGCTGGCAACCTTCACCTCAGCCTGCAAAGCCCCAAGGAGTACCTCTCATCCCTCCCTACAGTTCTCCACCTGAACACCGCTTAGTGCGAGTGCGTGTTCTTTGAAGATTGGAAAACCAAAGCCGTCCACATCATGGACCATTTTGACAAAAAGCAAGAACACGGAACTTTATATAACTTTATAGTAGGAAAATGTAAGGAGATTTGCAAGACAACGGGAGAATCTCCTTTTCCGAGGTCATGTTTCCACAATGTCTGCGACTACCTGAGGCCTGGGCAAAATGAGTATCCCTCGTGAACATTTGTGTGGCAGCCCTGCCACCAGGTGTATTGCAGCTGTGCCGATAGCAACACCCAAAAATTATGCAATGCAACAAGTTCAAGGCTCATGTGATCGTGCAAGTGACGCACAAAAAAACTCAGATCCTACACTCGAGGATCCTACATTAGACTCGCCATTATGTCAATTAGATTGCACTTAATAAAGCCAAAAAAGGTGTCAAATGGCAAGGAGAACCACCTAATTATGTAATTCCACTAGTTCCACCAGTGTTTGGATCGGAGTGACCGACCAAAGGTCTTTGTGCTGTTGGATCAGCTTGAACTGAGCAGTCTCTCGGCTGTGACTCTCGTCTCGGCCTCATTGGAGTCTCGTCTCGCTGCATCGCATTTTCACGCCGCCTGCGACCCACCCACGACCAATGGCACATCAAAATGATTGCCTCCACTGAATCGGACAAAGTTAACTGTCCTACCCTGTTGCTTTGATAAGGTGTAAATAACAATGTGTATCAGTGTATCAATCACTATTGCCAGCTGTCAATCTTCGTTCGTGTGCTAGTCCTCCCGCCTTGGCCCGGACATGAGCAAGGATTTCCGCCCACCTCCACAGCAGGCACAAGCACTCTGCACGCGCCGCACGTCCAAGTAGCACATGAGACTGCGGTGCAAACCATCAGGGAGACAGCACTCCAACAGCACCTGCCAACTGCGCGTGCAAGTACTCCAACGATGCATCCTGTCCAAGCAAAGCAGTCAAGAATTAAACCGAAGCAAGGGCATGTGGCTTCTGCCATCTGCCTATATCCTGGCAAGCTTTCTCAGTCTTTGTTGTCTTCATGTATTAATCATACGTCCACTTTCACCGTGCTGTACCTGCGATCCTTCCTCAATCTGACAGCGCACAATGGACCTCAATATTCCGGCAACTCGGCTCCTTGACGAGCGTTGGCTGTGGCCTCCAGCAGTTGAGCAGAGCTTTATTTAAGGGAGTTGTAAAAATTACAAGTAGTTCCCGGGCAAGCCGGCGGCGGAAGTTTCCAAAAGAGTAAGCCTATAGGAAATGGGCATGTGCAGGCTGATTCGCCGAGCTGCGATGTTCTTTGACAAAACAAGTTGGAACCGACCAATGGAGCGAAAGCGAAGCAACCACCGTCAACTGTCTCGCATTTTGCAAAATACAGAATAGAGATGACTCAGCCGCGTACTAAAGTTGTACTACAAAGTCGCCAGTTCTCAGCTTCCAGCTCCACGGCTTGCTCCGCGTACTAGAGTTGTACTACAAAGTCGCCAGTTCTCAGCTTCCAGCTCCACAGATTGCTCCGTGCACTAAAGTTGTACTAGAAAATCCGCAGTTCTCATCTTCCAGCTCCCCAAATACTCCGCGTACTAAAGTTGTACTACAAAGTCGCCAGTTCTCAACTTCCAGCTCCACAGATTGCTCCGCGTACTAAAGTTGTACTACAAAGTCGCCAGTTATCAGCTTCCAGCTCCCCAGATTGCTCCGCGTACTAAAGTTGTACTAC